TAATAATTTAAACCTGAATTTTTTAAAATTATAGACATATTAAGTCAGCAATAAAACAATATATTTTTTCTCTCCACACTTTTAACCTTTTTTTTTTACGTACAATTTAAACCTCATTAAACCTTCAATTATCACTATTTTTTTTTCTTTTAATTTTTTTTTCTCTTTCTCTCTCTACAGAATCAAAAGCAAGAGTGCGTGCTTGTGAAGAGAAAGCGAAAGATAGAGAGAGACTCAATACCACCACCCACGTCAAAACAAAATCCCAGATCTCGCTCCATCTTTATAACCCAGATTCAGGAAACACGGGAAGAGGGTATAGGCTGAATCAGGGGGAAGCAGAATGGTGCAGAAATCGTTGATCTACGCTTTTGTCTCCCGTGGGGAGGTGGTTCTGGCAGAGTACACCGAGTTCAGTGGGAATTTCAATTCCATTGCGTTCCAGTGCCTACAGAAGCTTCCGGCTTCCAACAACAAATTCACGTACAACTGCGATGGCCATACCTTCAATTACCTCGTCGACAATGGCTACAGTTAAGTTTCCTTTTCCCCTTTTCTCTGTTCTGTGGAGTAAATCTGATTCTTTTCTGTCTGGGTATTGAGAAATCAAAGGGAATGGGGGGAAATTGCGTTGGGTCGGAGCTGTATCTGAGATCCAATGGAGATTCAGATTTTTTTTTTCTCCTTGTGTTTGATTCTCGAGAAAATGCAGGTCGAGTAAGAGAAAATGGAAAGAGATAGATCTATGGGGTTTATAGTTTTCTGTGGTTTTTGAGCTTAATTGATTATTTGTGTGGATGCTAGAAGAAAGGCATTTGAATTTTTCTTATGTTGTAACATTTTAGCTATTTGAGATTTAATTTTAGGACGATTGTGATTGCTAAAATAAATGTTGTGTTTACTTGCAATTGAGTAATGGCTTGGTTCGTTTTGATCCTTGAAAAATGAGTTATTTTGTGGCCGATTCTGTTATATTGTACGTGTATGCTTACGCAAACAAACATTTGATGTAATGGAGTTTAAGCTATTAATGCTTTCAACATGTTATGTATCTGGTTATCCATTATTCCATTTCCGTCCCATTATGTTTGTAGATTGGCTGACTTTTTATGTATTGCAGCATATTGTGTGGTTGCTGAAGAATCGGTAGGACGGCAAATACCAATTGCTTTTCTGGAGCGTGTCAAGGATGACTTTATGTCAAAATATGGAAGTGTAAAGGCTGCTACATCTGCTGCTAACAGCCTCAATAAAGAATTTGGGTATGCTGTTCTGATTAAAAACGTGAAGAGATTTGCTTGGAGAATTGTCTCCCGTCATTGTTGCTGACATGGTATGTTTTTATTTGCAGTCCAAAATTGAAAGAGCACATGCAGTACTGCATTGATCATCCTGAAGAGATAAGCAAGATTGCTAAGGTGAAGGCTCAGGTTTCAGAAGTTAAAGGTGTTATGATGGAGAACATTGAAAAGGTAAGCTGTGATGCTTAGCTACTTCTTTTGTTATAAAATGATAATATTAGATTGCATTAATGTCCTTGAAACTTTTTAAAAATTTTCATTTTTCTCGTTAAACATTTTCTTCGTTTATTGATAGAAGGATCTAAATGGATGCAGGACACAAGGACTGAAATTTACACTAATGAACAATATCTAAAAAGTTTAAGGATGAAAATTTTCAATTTGCTCTATCGCTTAAGTTATCTCCAGATGCTAGCATGTCATGTTTAATCAAGGTGGTATTTTATTCATTGATTGGCCAAAAAGAAAATAATCGGGGTGGTATGTATGGCTTATATCTTGCCAGCAGGTTGTTCAGTGGGTGTTGGGTGGTTAATCGTATGAACCATGGAAACTGGCTTCAATATGCCAGCACCCTGTTAGTAGGTTTCTTCTGTTTATATGGATTTATGCTACACTTTGTTAATGGAGCACCTAGTAGTAGTATATGCGAGTGAAGTTGTCTGATGATGATTTTTCTGGGAAAGTGAATCTAGCCTCCTTATAATTTGTAGATAACATGTACAACAATCAATTACTTGTCACTTACCAGGATGCATTTCTATTGTAAATCTTTAGGATATTCACCTACTGCTTTCTAACAGGTTTTAGATAGAGGGGAAAAAATAGAGATCTTGGTGGATAAGACAGAGTCTCTTCATCATCAGGTCAGTTATCTCTTATCTTCTCTCTTTTATGTGTCAATTAGCATGGTGCTGATGGGTATCTATTTGAATGTTAAACCAACTGTGAATTAAAATCTTGTTCTTTTGTGGTTTGACTTGTGAGAGTTTAGGATTTGCTTTTTAATAATACAAATTTATGAGAACCAAGGCAAGTGCGCATTTGACCTTTACACTGTTAAATTGTAAATTTGAGTGCCTGTGACATTGATGGTGGTTAGTATGCCAGAAAGCCTAGGACAAGGCATTATGTAACAATTAATGTAATTTCCATGAAATTTATCTGTCCGCAGGCTCAAGACTTCCGTAATTCAGGGACGAAAATCCGAAGGAAGATGTGGCTGCAAAACATGAAAATCAAGCTGATTGTTTTGGGAATACTGTTTGCATTGATCCTCATCATAGTCTTGTCCATCTGCCATGGTTTCAACTGCGCAAAATCCAACTGAAGACGTATTCTTGTGTTAGCAGACCTCTTATGATCATGCCATGAGAAAAAATATCATGAAATATTTCGTCCCCTTGTATGTCTAAAAGGTTAGTGATTGCCAGACAAGTTAAATTTTTGAATGTGAAGGAAGATCTCTAAGTTTGTTGTATCAAACAACAGCATATTGCAATTGCTTGAAGAGATTGTTGTTTAGATTCAAATAATTGTTTGTACATCTGAATTCTATAGACTTGCAAAAGGGAGAAAATGCTCTAGATTGTTTTGTTGGTTCTTTGTACCTGTAATTTCATTTCCAAACATTCTTCTGTTGATTCAAATATTTTGTGTCTTTGCATGTCTAGATTGCAACATCTTTTTAAAAGAGAATGCTACAATTACCTCTGCACAGACTGCATTTTTTTTAACCATTGATGGAATGGTGAGCCCCTAATATCAGGAGCCTTGTCTCTCCATCCAATGGTTATAAGGTGGATTGCACTTTACTTTTTTGTTTTAAAAATATTGTTAGCTGTAAAAAGGTTTTGCTAAAAAGAGAGTCAAATTTTAGAATTTTATTTTCTGTGGATTCTGAAGTCTATCCTTCAATCCTGAACTTCACTCTTGCTCTATCCTTCACCAATTTACCACCATTACTGCCGTTTCTTTCCTCAACAGACCCGCCAGCCGCCTTTGTCCACTGAAGGCCAACATGAATTCTCCCACAATTCCTCACAAGTAACTCTTTTATTGTATTTCTCGTAATTTCTCATATTGGTGAATACCGGCAGCCATTCTGGAATGTGTTTGGTTTGTCTCTCCGGCTTCTGCTGGGCAGATATTTCTCTCTCTCGCTTTTGGTTTATCATTGGGCTTGGCAAACGGGATTTCTTCTTTAGAACTTACAAAATCCGATAAATCTTTCAAGACACTGGATTTCAACGAGGAATTGTCGGTATGTAGAGCGGAGGCCCCGATGAATCCTCCCAGAACGGCGGAGAGGTCGTGGACGGCGTTGGTGAGTGTTTGAGATCGAGACTGCTGATCTGGTTAGGGGTACTCGATGGCGACTACATTCAGGATGTTGAGGGCGGAGCGCCGGGTTCGTCTGAGACCTACGGGTTTGCAGACGTGTGCGACGGCGATCTTTGCGATTTCAAAGGAAAAATCCGACAGAGATGCCTCGTTCCTCTCTGCGCGGGGCTCTAGCTTTGGCTTGGCTTTTACAGGTGCTGTTATCACGCTTGGTTGTTCTGATTCATGGAGAAGACGGAAGGAAGGAGAAGGTCTCTCTGCATAACTTTTGGGGCCCTAAAAATGTGGGAATAAACGATTTTTGGATGGCGGGTTTCCGTAACAGAAATTGACCATTTGAAATTCTACCCAG